TACTTATCGATAACATTGTTGGTTTGTTTATCTATCTTAAGGATATTGGTGGTTATTATTTATCGATAAAATTGGTGTTGTTATTTATCTACTTTATCTTTAGTGGTGGTTTTTTATTATTTTTATATTATTGATTTGTTCATCTATTCTATTTATATTGGTGGTTATTACTTATCGATAAAATTGTTGGTTTGTTTATGTACTTTAATTATAGTGGTGAGTATTAACTATTGGTAATACTGGTGTTATTATTTATCTACTTTATCTTTAGTGGTGGTTTTTTATTATTGATATATTATTGATTTGTTCATCTATTCTAATTGTATTGGTGGTTATTACTTATCGATAACATTGTTGGTTTGTTTATCTATCTTAAGGATATTGGTGGTTATTATTTATCGATAAAATTGGTGTTGTTATTTATCTACTTTATCTTTAGTGGTGGTTTTTTATTATTGATATATTATTGATTTGTTCATCTATCCTAATTATATTGGTGGTTATTACTTATCGATAAAATTGTTGGTTTGTTTATCTACTCTAATTATTGTGGTCAGTATTAACTATTGGTAATATTGGTGTTGTTATTTATTTACTTTATCTTTAGTGGTGGTTTTTTATTATTGATAATATTGTTGATTTATTCATCTATTCTAATTATATTGGTGATTATTTTCATTCATATATCGATATGGCACGTGACATAGAAAAAAATCATGATTTAAATAAAAACCTTTTCATTCAAATAAAGATACCTAATGTACCAAGGCCATCATTTATCTGGAATTATTTTGGACATTTATACAAAAAACCAAGCGAGCCATTAGATCTTGAACGAATATATTGCAAAATATGCTTTGACACAAAAAAAGAAGAATATCCAGATTCAAGTTTTTCTTCGATTCGAAAAAGAATTGGCACTTATGGTGCAACAAGTGGTACAGGAAACATGAAGAATCATTTGTTAGCAGTGCATCAAATAACAGAAGCTCAAGAAATAAAAAGAACAAGTAAACATATTGTTTCAATGTTTTCTCGTGATCGTGGCTCAACAAAGTCTTCACAATTGAAAGAGCAACTTGGGCATCAATTGACTTTAATGTGTTGCAAAGATCTTCTTCCATTTTCAATCGTTGAAAATGAAGGTAGGAAACCCTAAAGAACTTATCATGCAACTATCAATTCTGTTTATTATTAGGTTTTCAAGATTTCTTAATTTCTAACAAAGTTGTTAGTACAAAAAATGAAATTCCATCTCGAACCATTTTATCACCGGTGAATCTTAATAAAATATATAATGTATGTGTTGAAAAAACAAAACAACAAATAAAATTATCAACACAGCATCCGACAATAACGTGTGATTCATGGTGCGACAGGTACAAACATCGTTCATATATTTGCATCACAATTCACTTTCTTGATTCAAACTTACAATTGCATAAATATAGTTTAAAAACGCAACCGTTTGATGAAGCTCATACGGGAGAAGCTATAAAAGATATTGTATCAGATGTTTTAACTGAATTTGGTGTAAATCCAAATAATGTTATTGTAGTAAGTGAATTTATCCGTCGAAATTTTAGGAATTATTGTGTTTTTTTATTTTTCTAGGTTTCGGATAAAGGTTCGAACATGCGTAAAGCGTGGAGACTGTTAAATGTCATTCATATATTTTGTGTTGCTCATGGAATTCACAATTTGTTAATGAAGGATTGTTTTCCTAATATGCATTACGTTTCAGAAATATTAGATAAAGTTCAATTAATTATTAACAAGCTTCGTTATCGTCAACATGAGCTCGAAAATGAATATTTTCAATCGAGTGAAAAAAAATATAATGATTTGTTTTTGTCCATTAATAAAGCTGGTGAAATTATAGATGCAGATTTAGCTTCAACATATATTGATGTTGATGATTCAGAAGTATTGAATGAAAAATGTCAAAATAATAATCTAGAAGAATTAAGGTTATCCGATGATTTAGAACTTAGGTGAAAAACTTGCGAAAACACACATAAGTTCAATCGTTCAGCATTAATCAATAACAGCAATGATTCGAACAGATTTCACACGTTGGAACACAGTTTTGATTATGCTTCGCTCATATGCTGATAACATATCTGGTATTGAAGTTATACTCGGCCGATTAAAACATTTTGAATTAATATTGTCTGTTGCTGAAAATCAAATTATTCGTGATTTAATTGAATTTCTTTCTTTATTTGAATCAGCAACAACAATATTATCAGCATCAAAATCTTATCCAACTATCAGCTTATGCTTACTGTTAAGAATAGTAAGTATTTGAAATTAAAACTATTTATAGTTTTACTTGAATATTGGGTCGTGAAAATCGGACTAGATTAAAAGAGGATATTTAAAGACGCTGAATGCGCTCTGTGATTTCGAAATACTTTTCATGAATATTAATTTAATGCAATATTTAGTTCAAAAATATGCTTTAACTGATTATTTATTCTAGGAAATCGAATCTCTACTATGTACCGATGGAATAAAGTCATTAGTCATCCAAGAACTAAAATTTTTGCTGTCAGAAAACTTGGATAATCGATTTCCTGTGACTCCTCTGAATATTTCTGCATTTTTACTTGATCCATCTCAATTGAAAATTGATATTAGTCGTTATTTAGCTCAATGCCAAACAACCAAAGAATTAATATTATCCGATATGATTAAAAAGTTCAAAATCAATCATGTTACAGAAGCATCTGCAACCAACTATATATCAGAATTATCACCATCACAATCATGCTCATTAATAATAACAACAACAGCAACATCACACCGAAGTTCATCAACAACAACATCATCTACTTCAATGAAACGCAAATTATCAGTGGAAAGTTTAAATTCACCGGTAAAAAACTTGAAAAAACTTAGAGTAAATTTAATTCAGAAACATAAACCAACATCAACATCTAACTTTGATCATATTCTGAACGAAATACAAAATTATCTACAATTAGATGTTAATTGTGATGATGTGCTTCAATTTTGGCAATCATCAGTGGATGCATACCCTCATCTAAAAAGTCTTGCTCAAATTGTTCTTGCTATTCCAGCAACATCTACACCAAGTGAACAAGTCTTCTCGACAACCGGTCTGATTCTCAATGCCAAAAGAACAATGTTACTACCGGAAAATGTTGAAAAAATACAAATGATTCATGATAATTATAATTTATTAAAAAAGAGTTGACATTTTATTTTTTTCTTGTATTTTCGTTCAGAATATGATCAAAGTTAGATGTTGATGTTGGTTTATGTTT